CGTCTCCTCCCCAAGACCCCTCTGCAAGGGGATCTCCAGTGGCCTACTAATGGGCTTTGGGTCTAATTTCTTCTTTTAAAAGGCATTTTATACCCAGGGATTTTTCTACTCTTTACTATTTCCAATATCTGAATTCCTGGGGCACCAATTCTTGCTTCTGACTTTGCTCACGGAGGACCTTCCTTTTTGTATCTTCATTACGAGCTGATTTCTCGTTTCTCTTACTCTATGGAAAACCCAAGGCCCGAAACCGAGGGTGCTTCCTTCCAGAGATAACTTGTAGTTGGTGTCTGTCAAAAGCCAGGTGACGCAATCAGCCACGTTAGCTCCTGGAAATCCATTCTAGTCTTGTGACTCTTAGAGGCAGGTCCCCCACCTTGTAAGCTGCCGTTCCTCTACCTACCACACAGGGTTCTAGCTGCAGCTCACTACCACCTCCTTTCCATCAGCCCTCAAATCTGGAAACTTCCTGTATGCTGTTACTCATATCATCTTTAACATTGATGCATCATCTAGTTTTGTCATAGTGAGAGGTCCATGGGAGTGCCCGCCACATTGAAGCTCTGCTAGGTGCTGGCATTCACTAGCCTAACTTGATCCTCATAACACTTCTCTGAAGTGTGTTATTCCACCCCCCTACCCCCATTTTACTGAAGGAGGAAAACAAATGTCGGAGCAGTCAAGACGTTTACCCAAGGCCACACACGGAGCGATGGGATGGAGAGAGCGGAGGCTTTAGCCCGATTTCCTGGACTTCAAACCTCGTGGAATAAGAGGCTGAAGCATGAGCCCCTGTGTTCTGAGCCCTCCCTCCAGATGTCTGTTCCCTCCCTCCCTGATACCTTCTGGCGTTTGTAAATGGTGGGAAGTGGGGCCACCTCACAGTCCTTGTGGGCACCAAAGACCTTGCAGAGAGAGCAGGTGGGCACTTCACAGCTCAGGCAGTAGATATTGATCTTCTCTTCTTCATGTTCCTCGCACATGAGGTGCTGCTCAGCCTTGGAGTTCAGTGGCCTAGAGAGGACAGGGGAGTGGGGGAGGGGGGTCCAAGAGGGCAGGGCTCCATGAACGTCTCCTCTTCGGCCTCCACCCACCTCCACAGCTCTGAGACTGGCAGATGGGCGCCTTCCAGAGTGCTTTCAGTTTGAGGAACAGATAGAGGGGGCAGGGCAGTCTGTATTCCAGAAGGCAATCACAGAGGGTGGGCAAGGGCTTGCCTGTGGACTCTCAGTCCCTCCCCGGGAGTGAAGGTGGACTGAACTGGGTCTTACTCCCCCTCTGGGCCCAGTCTTTCCCACTCTGTCCTAAAGGCTGGTGGTTGCCATTTTTCCCTTGTCACCTTGTGGCCCTGATGGCTTCCCTGACTGTGGCCGGCCCAGGCCCTGGTCTTTCGAGAGGCAGGAGCCTTGCAAGCTCACCTGGAAGATTCCTGCTTGTAAATGTCGATGATGTTCTCCACCAGCAGGTTTCGCTGCAGGCCGTAGACTCCGTGTCGGTCGAGGACAACCTCATGCCTGCAAGATGGGCAGCGAAAACGCCCTCCTGAAGACACAGTGGTGGAGCCCCGGGATTGCCACAGAGGGTTCGAGGCCTGTGGCATGAGAGAACGGGCACAGCGAGGCATGAGGCACCTGGGAAGAGGCAGGGGGTTCAGGAGCGGGAGGATAAAGAGGCAGGGGCTGCACCAGCTCTTTCCCATGGCTGGATCATCCTCTGAGAGAAACTCGGGGTGGATGACATTGAGCTCTTATCTCTTTTCTTTTCTTTTGAACGAATCATTTTATTGGGGGCTCTTACAGCTCT